GGGTTTAGAGTTCTATTTTTTGGGGGTGGTTTAGGGTTTAGAGTTCTACTTTTTGGGGGTTTAGGGTTTAGGGTTTAGGGTAGGATTTCGGGTTTGGGGTGTTTGCCTCAGTTCCGAAGTGTGACACTTTGCTGCATGGAAGTGCCCTTGGTATACAGCGGAAGATATGGGACTTTCCGAAAATTAGGTACCTTATTTTGGGGTCCTTATAATAAGGAACCTATTATTTAGGGTACTATATTAGGGTCCCCTATTTTTGGAAACCCCCATATATCTAAATTAGGGTCCCTTTTGGGGGGTCCTTTTTATAAGGGTGCCGTATTATAATGGGGACCTAAAAAGGGACCCTAGTTTAGAGAACCACCCATGTGGCATCACAGGTGTTGTAGCTTCTAGCAGGGCCTTGTAGTCTAGACAACTATGTAGACTGCGGTTTGGGGCATGTCGCACCATGACGACTACATCAGGGCCAGGCAGCAGGAACGGCACCGGGTCTATAGTATAAAGGTCCGAACATAGCAGCAATGTGCTATTTCGCGATGCTGTCACTCTTCAAACTGTAAGAGAACAAGTACTACAAATATCCCCCAAATATCCCCAAACCTCGAAACCCCAATCCTTGATTCGTCTGGGGCCATGCCGGTCTGCCTTGGGCTCTTGAATAGGTTTGTGGCGTGTTGCGTTCGGCCTGTGGGCCTAGCAGACCTGACAGAGGCAGTAAAACTTGTCACTTAGACTTGGGAACCTCTATCCCTAAACCCCGAAATCCTAAAGTCCTAAACCTTAAACCCCTAATTAGGCTCTAAACCCTAAACCCCTAAACCCTAAACCCTGAACGGCTCTAGGTAGGGTGCAAGACCTGAAGAGGACGACGAGTGCCAGGAGCTGGGTCCTGGGAACTACACAGAGTAACCAAGGTACCTTAGAAAATGTAAGGGGATTTTAGGGTTTAGGTTCATATCCCTTATTTACAAGTACATCGGTTACCTAAGTAGGGTGAAGTCATGGCTCTGTCAAGAATCGATTTTGGCGCGGTTCTTGACGATGACCTCACTGCCCTCCCCCGGGCTGTTGAGCAACGCCTGCTGCAATGCAGGGCCTTATTCGAGGGGAGGTTTACCTAGAGTGACCGATGTACCTGAAAAAACGATATGGGTAGTTGTCTAAATTAGGGTCCCTTTTAGGGTCCTTTTTACAAGGTTGCCGTGCTATATTGGGGTGCCAAAAAGGGACCCTAATTTAGAGAACTACCCAAATGATGACCCTCCCTAAACCCTAAACCCTAAACCCAAAGCCCTAAAATGTAAACCCTAAACGGTGTGCCCAGTATTTGAGGTACCTTTGCTTCTGCTAGGCAGAGCTGACATGAAGGACACGGAGGCCTGGTCAACCTCGAGTTCTCAACTGCCTCAGATTTAGGGTTTAGGGTTTAGGGTAAGTCGCATGACTGCCTTTCTATCTGCAACTACTGTAGGCTTTCTTGCAAACCTTGCCAAGAACGCGGCGGAGACACATGCAAGCAGTCAGCGAGGGGAGTTTAAACTCTTCAAGCTAATTCCAGTGTGTCGGAATGTAGACCGTTCAGCCTAGTAACTTAGAGTAAAAACCCTAAACCCTAAACCCTAACGGCATCATCTTACTCATCCGAGCAAGCCGGGATCTCAGCTCAAGGGTGTCTGATGAAGCACCCCGAAACCCCCAAACACCCAAACCTTTAAGCTTATGGTTCAGGAGGGTTTAGGGTTTAGGGTCTAGGGCTTATGGTTCAGGAGGGTTTAGGGTTTGGGTTTAGGGCTTAGGGCTTATGGTTCAGGGTTCCCCAAACCCCCAAACCTCCAAGCTCGGGTGCCTTGCATCTTTATTCGGAAAAGCTCAAGCAACCAGCCTTGACCTTTGCAGGCGTGTATGCCTGTGGGCGGAGAGTGTGCCATTCTGGAGTTGGGTGCAAGCTTCGGACCAACAAGTCCTCCAAAATCAGCAGTTGTTTCAGGTGGTTTAGGGTTTTGGGTTTGGGGGTTTAGGGTTTGGGGCAGAGTGTTTGTCGCAAGCTGCGTGGCAAGAAGCAGCATCGAATGGCTTAGCGGATAGTGATATGTTTCTCAAGTAGCATCTCCTTCACCACGTTGCGTGCTCCTTGCACATGACATGCAGAGTCGAAACTCTCCCACCGGGTTCGAGAATGCACCCTGGGGCCTGGAGCTTGGTAGACTCAGAACTGCAAATGTCGGTGCCTCGCCCAGCAACTACCGAGCAACGCCATGAGACAAGCAAAGGCATGTGACAGTCTGCCAAGTCAAATGCTAGCGCATGAAGATGTGGATGACGAAGCCATGCTGTTGCTACTGCAACTACAACTGCAACTGCTACTGCTACTGCTAGTACCACAACTACGACTACGACGCGACTGCGACTACTGTACCAACACTACCATTACGCCACTATATCTATAAAACGAGGCAGTCCCCCTAAACCCTAATTGAACCCCTAAACTCGAAACCCTAGACCCTAATCAGCAGACTGCAGATAAGGGTAGTTCTCCAAATTAGGGTCCCTTTTAAATCAAGTCCCCGAAATAAAACGGCGATCTTATAAAGCATACCCTGAGAGGGACCCCTAATTTAGAGAACTACCCATATAGGATGGAGGGGGGATGCTTCTCTTTGGGGGCTAAGGTGTTCCGGTTTCGGGCCCCTCGGGGGTACCTAGAGAAACCAATGTACATATAACAAGAGGGGGGATGACCCTAAAAAGTTGGTATATTGGTTCATAGAACTTTAAATTCTAAGCCCTGCTTAATTAAGGCATACTTTCGTATAGTTTTAGTTCTAAACCCTGCTTCAAGGCACCTTGGCTACTCTAGGTAGGGCTTTATTTGTCTACT